TTCTCCTTCTTGTTCTTCCTCTCACTTTCCTCCCTAGCATTAGTTGCTTTGGTGGGATTTGAGAGAGAAGGACTTGGGCACTCTGTGTGCCCTTGCCATTGCATTTGTGCATCGGTTTGAGTTCTCCATGGTGCGTGGAAGTTACAAGTTGAGAAGCTTATTACTCTTGGGTGCTTGGTACCCTTGAGCTTGTTCCTCTTGGGTGCTTGGGCGCCCTAGACGGTTGGTGGTGCTTGGAGCTCAATCATTGTGGTGTAAAGCTCCGGGCAAGCGTTGGGGTCTCCAATTAGGTTGTGGAGATCGCCCCGAGCAATTTGACGGGTACCGGTGACCACCCCCAAGGGTTGCCAAAGTGTACGGGTTCGATGACCGCCCCCAAGGGTCGACATTTGTACGGGTTCGGTGACCGCCCTCAAGGGTCCCTTAGTGGAATCATGGCATCTTGCATTGTGTGAGGGCGTGAGGAGATTACGGTGGCCCTACTGGCTTCTTGGGGAGCATTGTGCCTCCACACCGCTCCAAACGGAGATTAGCATCCGCAAGGGTGTGAACTTCGGGATACATCGTCGTCTCCGCGTGCCTCGGTTATCTCTTACCCAAGCCCTTTACTTATGCACTTTACTTTATGATAGCCATATTGTTCTTTGTCATATATCTTGCTATCGCATAGTTACTTATCTTGCTTACCATAAGTTGTTGGTGCACATATATAGGTGAGCCTAGTTGTTTTAGGTTTTGTGCTTGACAAATTAACCGCTAGGTTTATTCCGCATTTGTTCAAGCCTAAACCGTAATTATTTTAAAGCGCCTATTCACCCCCCCTCTAGGCGACATCCACGATCTTTCACCTGGTCATAAGCCAATGCACATGCTTAGCCTGACCCAGGTGTAGAAATTTTGACGCGTGTCTTATACAAAATATGTCCGGGACTACTAATTAAGTCTTAGCATATGTATATAGTTGGTTTCATAGGCATCGGGCTAGAACATGAACCAAACGTCTAGACCATAGGCTAGCCTGACCAGACAATAAAATGACATCTTTTCACGTGCAATCAAGGCAACCATTTATTACTGGCACGCCATTATATTCATCAACCAAATTGGCCCATAGACTTCTTTCCTTTATCTGGACTAGACGCTAATCTGCCATGTAACGAGAGCCTATGCAAGACCGGGATGTCAAAGAAAAAAAGTCGCAAGACCAACTACCCCTCCAAACTCTAGGGAAGCGTTTGGTAGCCTGCAACGTTTTTTGGCCTCCTTGCATATGTGACTGAGTTGGGCTTGACTGAGGGAAATACAGGCTAAAAATCATGTTTTGCACATAGTTTGTTTGTTTGCATCCTCCTCATGGTATTTGCTTGCAGGTCTGTTTTAGGCAGATGCAAAGTATGTGGTGTTTGGTTACATGCAACACATATGGTCTGATAACCTCTTGTTGGGGTTGTGAGGTTACATCATAGACACAACCCATAAACCCATAAATAGGCATAACATAAATCCATAAACCACAATCTTAACGCAACCCATATTTTTGAAAGAATCTTGGAGGATTCTAATTTTTAGTTTTTCTCCTTCTATTTTAGTTATTTGATTCCTAGGATTACAATCCATTTCTTTTCTGTAGGATTGGCTTGTACTAGTTTTCATAAAAAAATTATCCACTCCAACCTCATGTGAAGAATATTACGTTTTCATGTGTCAAATCAAACACCTATACAAGTCTTGTAGTATTGAAGATGGCATGCCACTCCATTCTTGTGCTTTTTCTATTCCTACATTTAAGATATCTTGTACTCAAAGAGGTCCTAAACAACCTATGGAAAATTTGAAACACCACGTTAGCACCTTCAAGAAGGAGGTAACACATACGGCAACATTACCGCAATTAACTAGTGAATGCTAGAACATAGGTTTTCACCATAACATTTGAAATTCCCAAACAACACTTCTAGCAAGAAAATGTCGTGCCGGTGACGTCGTTGCCATATCTAACTAATGAAAACCACATCGAGGAATTCACCTCAATGTTCAAAAACCCAACATCGTTTCTCCATGATTTCTTCAAAGTTCACCTAAAACATATGACTACTAAAACGACCGCATGGACCATATATTGTATGGATTAGTGAGAAACCTCGTTGAAGTGTGCAGCGTCGTGGCGTCATGATGCACGTTAGAACCAACAAAACGCTCTTAAGAAGCACCCGTGCCACCCTCACAACCACACGGCCAACCAAAATTGTAACACCTAGGAACCGGACCGGCATGTGATATGTCCTAGAAACCTTGCTAATCGGTGGCGACGAGAAGAGAGAAGCCCTCTGTCACCATAGGAGCGACAAGGGCTACCACACACTCACGGCCTGTAGCCAATTAAACAACCGACAATTATATCAAACAAGTGGACCTAACAAATTTATAGTTTAGATACTTTATAGGACACCGGGCTAACAAAGTTCAATGTACATCCATCCATGCCATCTTCCACGCAAATTCAGAAGTCACTCTGGATAAAATAGTGCAATAATACAAACACCAAGCACCAATACAAAACCGTTTCACATATTCCTTTCTATTACCAAGTGGCTAATGATTCCCGTATCCATGAACTACATGCTAAATAAATCTTTCATTAATCAGTTTTGCCGTCGTACTCTGTACTAAATAGTTTGCCATCAATTATCGATGCTTCAAGTGGTAGTTGCTACATATATCAAAAGGTCAATCCCGAACAACATGCCAACATGGATCCTACTTTAGTATTTTGTCTACGACCAAGTGGCACATCAGTTTAGCTCATTACACTAAATACTACCTCCATATCAAACTATATGACGTTTTTACAGGGCAAAATAACCTAAAAAACATCTTATATTTTGATACGGAGGTAATATTTGATATTTTCAGAGGAAAACCTTAAGATAGCATTAGGAAAACTGAAAACTATTTATGGCGATGTTTACGTGGTTAAGGCAGACAACCAATATGTTTTTACCTAACATAGATGACGACATAGCCTACAGATAAACACACCTCCCACATCGTCTTAGGCTGATCACAGTGGGAGTAACTTAACTGGTAACATAACGCATACAAGACAAATATGCTTATCTGGCAAGGAGTTGATGAGGAAAGAAGTGTTTGTGGTAACATAATATGTTATCGTAACATAACACACCCTAATGCAAAATGAGTATACAACTTAAAGAAGGCTTGCACGACACTACACTTATGTTATTACCCACTATGAAGGTATTAACATAGACTAGTAACATCTGCATATTACTAGTCCAAGTTACTTCTTACTATGACTAGCCTTAGGCATTGTCTTAGTCTTGTACAACTTTGCTCTTTGCCATTATGATCTTTTATGTGTGTGTGCGCGCGCGCAGTGGTGTTTAGTTTGCGCATCTTAATCAAGCACACGTGAGGTACATACTCGTTGTGTTTTTACCCCCTTGATGTAACATTAGGAATCAATAAAAATCGCCTTCTATTGAAAAAAATGAGCATTAGGAGATCACCAACACCAGTCAGGTCAGCTTTCTCTTGCATCATCGGTGTCATTTATACATGTCAATACAAATGCATAATTCGTTTTCACATTTTTTTATGTCAAACGGTTAATGCCTTTGTTAATAGTATTAAATGATGTGGTTAGAATAGATAGGAAGATACACGACCACATACAATGGATAGAGGCATAGAGCAGTAATCTCTAGGTGGTATCATTAAGAGAAGACAACCTTACACATCTCATTCCTCCTAGCAGCCGAACTAGCCCGTTTTGTAAGACTGAGGCTACGATAGACAATGGTTGCCCTGCAAATCTTCACAACTAACCCTTATGTACTTATTAATTGCTAGCCGCGGATTTGTAGATGAGACCGGGAAGAATGACATATCTCGAGGTTCACTCAGCCATGCTTCCCCGTGAGTAAATATAGCCCCAAATTCTAAGTTTAACTTTGATCAACAAAATAATATAAATTATGTGCTATAAAAGTATCATTGGATAATTAACTGAAAGAGATTTGCAATGGTATTAACATTTTTACGACATATAACTCGCTAATCAAAATTA